TATGTATGTATATATACATATATATATATATATGTGTGTGTGTGTGTGTGTGTGTATGTATGTATTTATGTATGTATATATGTATGTATGTATGTATATATACTTCTATATATATATGTGTGTGTGTGTGTGTGTGTGTGTGTATGTATGTATGTATGTATGTATATGACTACATCAGAATTGGACGATGCGATGTACTTCCTGAAAATATATCAGGCTTATATGCACATCCTTGCCGCTTGCTATAGTAAACCCACGTAGATTACTCATCGTTCACGTATACTCAATTTTTTTTAAACCCTAAAACATCCCTTTCACCCACTACAGTACAACCAAATAGAGTTGGGTGTGGAGCGCTTTCGCGTTGCCGAAGTGTTCTTCCAGCCGTCGATTGTGGGCGATGGTGAAGCGGGCTTGACGGAAACGGTATGTGTTCCGGTACATAGCAGGCTGTGTGTGTATGTGCACACACTTATTCTGGTGGAGATATAGATACGGATACTTCACAGGCCTATCATGAACACCTGAGTGTGTGTAGTTGTAGTTGACCCAAGCATGTCGCGATGTCGCACTTCGACGTACCTGTATATTGGTCGCGTGCGTGTGTACACATACACTTGCAACTGCGTACACCCGAGACTCTGCAAGTGTATAGCATACGATCCCATGCAGAATGGATGTATACTAGGATTCGTTTGATAGCACTCAGATGCGAGTGCATACATTCACGCTCGCCAGTGGGTTACTACACGGGTGATATCGGAATATAGTGGATTCTGAATTGCTGGTGAGGAGGCCGAGGGTATGGCTACAGCTACTGTTTTGCAGTGAAAGTGAAGCATCCGATCTATTGGACTCTAAGATACAATATATATGTATATATGTAATATAATTATTATTGTTGTTGTTGTTATTATTTTTATTATTATTATTATTGTTATTATTACTATTATTATTATTATTATTATTATTATTATTATTATTATTATTATTATTATTATTATTATTATTATTATTATTATTATTTTATTATTATTATTATTATTATTTTATTATTATTATTATTATTATTACTATTTTATTATTATTATTATTATTATTACTATTTTATTATTATATATATATATATATATATATATTATTATATATATTATTTCTTTCTCATAGCGATGAAGTACTTCATTACCCTGATTATTTGGCAACAGAAAGTGGAAGTCCAGAAAGTGGAAGTCAACCATTTAAATTATATCTACATACTGACTCGCACACCTCTCTCGCACACCTCTCTTGCACATCTCTCTCGCACATCTCTCTCGCACATCTCTCGCGCCTCTCTCTCGCACACCTCTCGCACACCTCTCTCGCACATCTCTCTCGCACACCACATATTGATCCATCTTGATCTACAAACTATAGAGCGGACGGAGAACATTACCCTGAGGCATTAAAAACTACCATCGTGGACATCACCGGACCGGAAGTAGAAGAGCGGTAAAAGACAACACCGGAGCACGCTTTAAAGGAGAGCAAGAAAACAAAGAGAGAGAAAGTCTTCTCGAGAAAGTTACCTAATCCGGAAGGGTTGAAACCTCCTAATAGCTTATCATCAGCTAAAAATACCCCTAACGAAAATCTGCATGTCCATTGTGACACAGCCGGAATACTGCATACAGGCAGTAACACTGGGATAGAAGCACCGACAGCAAACTCGACTTTGACATCGGCAGTGATAACATTAGCGATGGTGAAGATGGCGGCGACAGAGAAAATGGGAAGGATAACATTCCTGACGATGACAAGCCCGACACGGAAAATGTAAAGGATAACATACCTGACGCTGACGCTGACGAGCTCGATCTACCAAGATTGATACCCAATAAGGATTCCTAGGACTGTGCCATACAACGCGAACACAATTATGACAAAACACTCAAGAGGATATATCTGGGAGGAACAACTACATCCAGATATAAAATTCAAAAGCTGGGCTGAAGCGAGGAGGTTGTGCGATACGATTGCTGACACTTGCAATGTGGTGCTATGTAGCAATGCAGACTTGAAGCGAGGTAAAGGGGTGTTAGCTTGCAACAGAAGCAGTTCTGCCACGAAATTGAGGAACCGCAATGAGGTTAGAAGACATTTAGCTGAGCATGTAACTCACAAGGTACCAAAACATCGCATGAGGCATTCCATAAAATGCGACTGCAAATTCAAGGTAATACTATTTATGCGCCTCTCTCACGCCTTCCTCCACTTAAGCACCCCTCTCTCACCCCCCTCAAATTAAGCGTCCCTCTCTCACCCACCTCTAAGTTAGGCGCCCCTCTCTCGCCCCCCTCCAAGTTCAGCGCCCCACTCTTGCCCCCCTCCAAGTATGACACACTTAATAATATTTTATGCTTTCAGCATAACTTCGTGCACACGGACACACCGCCAGGTTTCGACCCAACTCCATTTATAAGTGGTGAGAGTATGACGGTTGGATAGCGCCAGGAGCAAGTCTTTTTATACACACTGGAGGATGCAACCCCAGTAATGAACAAGCAACTGTTTCGTATATAGCAAGTGGGAAACTGTTCAAATAGGACAAGTTTGGACTCGAGGTAAGCAACTAATGATGTCAGAAAAGGTATATTATATGTGGAATATAATGGTTTTTAGAGAGAAAGAGTGCAAAAGAGTTGAATTCAAAAACAAATTTCATTATCAAATTATATATATGCAGATGATGAACGTCCTAGTTACCATGGCCATGCGGTTCGAAGTATCCAGCACAGCCCAAATCGGTGTTTCCAGGTGAAGTATCCATCACAGCCCAAACTATACATAACATCTGTAAACTTCGATGGAAATTACTAGGTTTCAAACTATATTAAACTAAAATACAATTTAGTCAGTTAGGATTTAGCAGTGGTAGCTTGTGTAAGAATGATCGGGACTGCCTCTTGTTAAGAGCCTAAATATCCTCGATCACACAGGGCGTACCTCTAGCTGTTCTTTATTGAATAATTTTCACTAGAAGTACTAAGTGTTCATGACCACATGCCTAATTTGTAGATAGACATAATAACGCAAGT